CAGTGCCCCTTGGAAACTCCACCTGTCACCCTCTCCTTGCCGTCCCGGTCCCGGCACTCCTTGCGGGCCCTGAGCCGCAGGGCCTGGTTCTGCCTGATGACCGTGGCCTGAATGATCTCCACGACTTCCACCTCTTTCTGGGGGATGTATGTGCCTGGGAAGAGAAGAACAAGTAGAGGCTGAGGGGGCAGAAGATACCAGGGCTATGGTGGGAAGGCAGGAAGCCCCTGACCCTGACTCAGGCCTGACAGAGAGATAACTTACCAGGTCCTTCAAAGAGCCACTCGTCTCCTGCCACCACTTTGTCTCCATCCTTGTCCTCAAAATCCAGCAATGCCTTGAGATGGAGGGCGGTGTTGGGCAGAACCACCTGCAGGGGCGTGATGTCCTAGGAGGGGAGGCAAGGGGGTCATGGGACATTCAGTGCTGTGACCCCAGTGCTGTGATCCTCTGCAGGTCAGAGTCCACAGTGTCAATCTTCACATGTCCCAGAACAAGACCGTAGGTGGAATGTACAAAGGAGGGGTGGTCCCAAGGCCATCTGGTCTGAAAAACTAAGGGGTGGAGTTGACCAAGTAAAAGATGACATTGCTGGGCCGGCCTGTGGCTCACTCAGAGTGTGGTGCTGACAATACCAAGCCAAGGGTTAAGATCCCCTTACCGGTCATCTTTAAAAAAAAAAAAAAGATGACATTGCTGATGAGCCAAGGATACACTCTCCAGAAGTGCTTAAGAGTTGTTCAGAGCTACTAAGTAATCTACTAAGAGGGAAAGTGGGTAGAGGGCTTGGTGGAAGATGTGGGAAAACACCTGAGAAGCTGAATAAATGGGTATTTTGTGGCCTACTGTGCATTGGGCTCTCTAGGAAGTATAAGGATGTGGGAAGGTATAAACTGCTGTAACAGGCAAGTTTTAAGCAGGTAGCTTTGTTTCCAAGGTTGCCACATGGTCATCAGATAGCCATTGTGCTCCAGTCATGATATATCCTTCCATTAGGAAGGGGGACCGGGCCAGCCCCAAGGCGCACTCGGGAGACTGCAGGGCTTGGGTGCGCAGCGACGCTCCCACTGCGGGTTCGGATCCTATATAGGGGTGGCCGGTGCACTCACTGGCTGAGCGCGGTGTGGGTGACACCAAGCCAAGGGTTGCGATCCCCTTATTGGTCACAAAAAAGACAAAAAAAAAAAAAAAAAAGGGGACCTGGCATAAAGTAAAATCCTTTTTAAAGTTTGTAGAAAAAGGGCCGGCCCATGGCTCACTCAGGAGAGTGTGGTGCTGATAACACCAAGGCCACCGGTTCGAATCCCATATAGGGATGGCGGGTTAGCTCGCTGGCTGAGCATGGTGCTGACAACACCAAGTCAAGGGTTAAGATCCCCTTACCGGTCATCTTCTGAAAAAAAAAAATAATAATAATAAAGTTTGTAGAACAAAAAAAAAAAAAAAAAAAAAAAAAAAAAGGGGACCTGGCATAAAGTAAAATCCTTTTTAAAGTTTGTAGAAAAAGGGCCGGCCCATGGCTCACTCAGGAGAGTGTGGTGCTGATAACACCAAGGCCACCGGTTCGAATCCCATATAGGGATGGCGGGTTAGCTCGCTGGCTGAGCATGGTGCTGACAACACCAAGTCAAGGGTTAAGATCCCCTTACCGGTCATCTTCTGAAAAAAAAAAATAATAATAATAAAGTTTGTAGAAATGTCTTTACAAACATCCCCCCCCCCTTTTTGGCAGCTGGCCAATATAGGAATCGAACCCTGGATGTTGGTGTTACAGCACCAGGCTCCAACCATCATTTCATCCTTGACAATGTTCTGAGAGGCAGAAAAGAAAGGAAAGAGGCATGTCGAGGTTAAGGAACATGACCAAGGACATGCAGCTGGTAAAGAACAGAATCAAGACTTGAAGCCCACTCTTTAGTGACATCTACCTGTCATTTCTGATAACCAAACTGGCCCCGGATGGAGGGGAAGGCAGAGTAGCTCCACCCTACCCACTGGCCACAGGCCCGGCTGGAGAGAGCAGGGCTGGAGGCTCACTGCTCAGTCAAGCCCTTCCCCATTCTCCTATGTGCATGGCAATCTGGTTGGGGGGGGGGCATACCCCCATAAACTTCATGTTTTCATGAAGTTTGAATTCCAGCAGGAAGATGAGACAGACGCAGACCATTCTCTATAAGCAGACTTCAGACAATGTCAAGGTAGAGAGGTTCTGCAGAAGTGCAGATGAAGAAGTAAGGGGAGCCCTTTGAACCAGGGTTCCAAGGACGAGCTGGCTTTTAATACAGAAGCGTGGAATGAGGAAAAGGCGAGCATTCTGGGAACAGCATGCAGCCCACTATGTCTTCACCTCCCATGCCTACCCAGCCTTCACTTCCTATCTGTTCCACCACAAATCCCAGGTCTACTTTCAGCCATTCTCGCCATCGCCCTTGTCTGAGCCGCCAACACCTCATGCCAGGATGGTGGTAATATCTTCCTACATGGTCTGCTGGCTGCCACCCTTGTGTCCTTCCAGCTTGGGTGACAGGGTACCCAGTAGTATCACCAGATAAGATTGAGAAGGGAGAAGAGTTGGGGGAAGGGAGAGCGTTAGGTTTGGACGTCCAGCACAAGGTGGCTGTGGGACATCCAGAAGAGGGCTTTTAGGGGTTCATCAGCCTGCAGGCGCCACTGGGATATAGGGTTGGACGTCTTCAGAGCAGAGACGAAGTAGTCAAGGCCACCAGAACATGAGGGCACGTGGGAGGTTCAGGACAGAACCTGAAGGCAGAGGGGACAGGGGAAGAGGGGGAGACATTTAAGGAGATGGAAAAAGACATCCACAGAATAAAATCTAAGCACATTTCAGTGAGAGTGGAAAAATTATGGATGGGGCCAAGAAGGTCTGGGAGAGACAGAAGGACGACCTATGTACTGGGTCCACAGATACAGTCTCAGGGCTTTGTCAAAGCAAGTTCCGTGATGGTGGCGGCAGGGGCCGGATGGCAGGGGCTCATGAGGGAATAGGGCAGGGAACATCATGTAAAAGTTGTCATCAAAGAGTAGGTAGAAAGGAAAAAGAAAGCAGTAGACAGCTAGAAAGTGGATTCACAGGGCCATTCACAAAAGCCCACGAAAGCTTAATGTGCAGTGCATACCCTAGCACCCAGCAATTCTTATTACAATAGTCCCTCCCCCCATATCTGCAGGTTCATTTTCCACGGTTTCAGTTACCTGTGGTCTGCCGCAGTCTGAAAATATTAAGTGGAAAATTCCAGAAATAAACAATGTGGAAGTTTTAAATTGCATGCCATCTGAGTGATGGACTCTCAAGTCGTCCTGCTCAGGATGTGAACCATCTCTCTGTCTAGCGCGTCCACACTGCCCGCCCATTATTTAGTAGCCGTCTCGGTCATCAGACTGTCATGGTATCGCAGTGCTTGGGTTCAAGGAACCCTTATTTTACTTCATAATGCCCTAAAGTACAAGAGTAGTGACTCTGGCAATTCAGATATACCAAAGAGAAACTAAAGCGCTTCCTTTAAGTGAAAGTGTTAAAGTTCTCAACTTAAAAATCATATGCTGAGGTTGCTACAATCCACAGTAAGAACGAATCTTCTGTCCATGAAATTGTGAACAGTATAATGTTATAATTGTTCTATTTTATTATTGTTGTTAATCTCTCACTGTGCTTAATTTATAAATTAAACTTTATCATAGGTATGTATGTATAGGAAGAAACAGTATATAAAGGATTTGGTACTATCTACAGTTTCAGGCATCTCCTGAGGGTTTTGGAATGTATCCCCTGCAGATAAGGGGGGACTACTGTAGCTTCTACTCTTTAAAAAAAAATCTAGCTGCACAAGGACATGAAGACAAGGCTATTCACTGCAGTTCTGTTTTCCCTTATAAACTGGAAACCAAAGTGACACTCAGCAGAGGAATGGCTGAACTTCTATACATCGTGAGAAATGACATGCAACAATTAAACAAGATATGACTTATGGCCCTATATGCAGAAGTTCACTCAAAATACACTGCAAATGAAGACATACAGCATGACAGCTTTTAAGCAAATGGTTATAATCAATACTTTTTCTTCTACAGGTACTTGTGTGAATGCATAGACATATCTGGAAGTGTATACACTGGATGAATAGTAGATCCCTTTGGGGAATGGAGAGCAGGTATTAGTGGTGGAAGGAAGAGGGAACGTCATAGCCTTACAAATGCATTCTTCAAAAGGAAAGCTTATACAAGTCTTTAAGGCCAGAAAAGGATGGATGCAGCAGAGCATGTTTACTGGCTAAGAGGAAAGCATCAGAGTGATAGGTCGGGTTCCTAGGTCCACCTGAGGAAGGAGAACCTCCTCAAGGCCCCAACAGGTAGAAAGAAGATAAGGGTATGTATAAGGTTACAGGATGGGACACAAACCCAGATCCTGCCAGAAGGCCTCAATTTTGAACTAAGTAGGTGACCAAGTTGCTCAGGTTTGAGGGGGGCAGAAAATAGGAAGAACGCTAAGAACAAAAAATATTTAGAAGCAGAGACAAACATAGAAGAGAAAGCTGGCAGACCAGGGCCTGGGTTGTAATGAGCCTCTAACCCATGAGCCAGTCACAGTCCTGTCGTCGTGGTGGATCTGTCCATGACGTTACGATTGTTCTGGCAGGAAACCCCTCCTGTGTGTAAGAACAGAAAAGGGAGGTAGGAGGTAAGCCTGGTCCAGGACCAGGGTTTTGTTTCATGTCAAGGGCACAAGAGAGTGTTTGTAAGAAATGTTAAGATAAGGTCCAGCTAGCTGGTGTAGGAATAAAAGATCAGGAAGAGAGTCTGAGGGATGGGAGAGAAGCCTAGGACGGAAAGGCTTCCATGGCCAAGGCTTCAAGGCCATGACAATGGTTAGGGGTGGGGGAAGATGGTAGGAGGAGGTGGCTGGAGTTTAGACTCGGGCAGGGGGGGGGGGGGGGGGGCGGGGGG